ATAATAGATTGTGTTTTAATTTATGCATCAATACAGTTGCTATGATAGTGAAAGGGTAATGCATAAAAATAATACTGTAAAGAGGAAAAACCTATCAAAAATATTCCCAGCAGAATATTGAGTAGAGTTTCCTGGGCTTATTAGGTCCTTATTTGTTATCTATTTTATATATTGTAGTATATGTCAGACCCAATCTCCCAATTTGTTCCTTTCTCCTTTTACCCCCCTGATAACCGTAAGATTGTTTTCTACATCTGTGAGTCTATTTCTGTTTTGTAAATAAGTTCATCTGTACCATTTTTAATTAGATTCCACATACAAGTGATATCTTTGTCCAATAAAAATTTTAAAAAATTCCCAACAGCTTTTCTACCCTGCTGGTGGTAGAAAAACCCTGCTGTTTAATAATATATGGATTAATAAGCCATCACTAATGATTTAGAAATTATCACACTATTTATGGGCAAAATGTGCATCAAAAAGTTTTTTTCCTTAGTCACCAGAGAGCCTCAATTCACTATTGAAATTATTTTCCAAAACCTTTTTGGAAACTTCCATCAGTTTTATTTTAAATTTCCTAAGATGCTATCTTTTCTATCATATATTCAATTCAAATCATCCCATTTTATAAACTTCCACCATTCCTCTCATCCCTACTCAATTATAAATTCTCTTATTTTGCATTCCCCCTGTTGACTGTAATTTACTGCTCATGCCTTCCACCCTTCTACTCGTGGAATGCTCAAGAATTATTTATTGAGCCCACCAGTATATCTAAATTTGTCAAATTATTTTTTCTCTCTTATAGCCTGAAAAGGAGAGGCTGTTTATTTCAGTTGATGCCTGCAAAAACAGCAGCTTGTGGAAACTAGTTAGAAGCAAATTCCCAAGTAACGTAGACTTGGCAGTATTCCATTACCTTTGATTATAAAAGGGCAAAATTAATGGGCAATTCATGAGGCTGTGTGACACAGAGGTGACAGAAAGTCACTAAGATTCAAATGGTAGAAGTCAAGGAGTTGTTTATACCAGGTGCCATTTCAGCCTTTTTCCATCATTTGTGAAAAGAGTTGACTTTTGTGGCCAATTGAAATGGGCTTTTCCTTCCAGACCATTTTGTCACATCTCCTGTGTTTAGAAAATTAATCTTTAATGAATGCTAATCAAGTTTCTAATTATAATATCTTTATATTTAATGTTTGTGTATCAGATGAAAGGCGAACATTTGGGGGCCAGTCACAAAGGACATGAATAATTTCCTTAGAAGCGCACCTAATTAATTTTATTGCTCTATAATATCTTTAAAATTTGAACTCCCATCATTTCATTAATTTAGATAAAAGTGAATCTTCAGCATGTAAATATGACACTTGTGTCGAAAATTATGATAAGATGAAATAATTTCAATCATGCATGTTCATCTAATATAGATAATGATAACACATTTGGGGATATTTGGGGATATATAGCACTAATTTATTGTGATATTTTATTGGGGCTTCCCAGACAGCTCAGTGATAAAGAATTTGCCTGTAATGCAGGGGCTGCAGGAGATGTGGGTTCGATCCCTGAGTCCAGTTCCAGGGAAGATCCCCTGGAGGAGGGCATGGTAACACACTCCAGTATTCTTGCCTGGGAAATCCCATGGACGGAGGAGCCTAGTGGGGTATAGTCCATGGAGTTGGACATGTGTGAAGGGACTGAGCATGCACGCATATTTTTTTGTTTTCCTCTTTGTTTGGGCAGTTTCTAGAAATATTCAAAGTGTCTGAGACATTCATACATTTAAGAAAACAAATTAAACCATAACTTCTCTTGTCAGAAAGCTTACTGCTAACTTTTAAAATTGTAATCTCATCCAAAAATATTTCAATGACTAGCCAATGATCATGTGCTAGTGATCTTGTAACAGTATTAAGTGATAGCTCCCAAACCTGTATTACTTTTAACAACAACAACAAAATTAGATGGTATTTTTCTAGGAATCTGGGCCCCTGGATAGTTAAACACCTACCTTGTTCCAGATCTTACAGTAAGAGGAAACCATGTATCACTTTAATGTTGAGAGTTATCCTAAAAAGAAGCTTATGGAGATTCTCTATCCTCTATGCTTGAGTTTTACCACTGGCTGGCCATCTAGATCTAAGAGATAACTACATTCATTACAAATGCGACATTAAGAAAAGAGAAGAATATGTACCTTGGCATAATTATCCTTCTGCCAAAATAGTGAGAGTAAAATCTGTATATTCATGTTTGCCTTTGAAGTGTGTGTGTGTGTGTATACAAGGCATAAGAGGGAAGACAAAAATATCACATTTAGTAGACTTTGCCCCATTAACAATTTTCAGTGAATCTAACTTGACAAGATCAACATTTTCTTCACTTTTCTAGGAGCAAAATCATGTTTAAAGAGTATGATAGCTTTTTCTTATACTTATAGTCTTCTAAGACAATGCACCTATTATTCACTGTTCAAGTTTGTGTTGATCGTCGTCTGTTTATGAACTGAATGGTTAATGAGACTAAAGCATAATAGAAGGCTCCTCTAATCATTTATATATACAAAAGTTGGTCTAAAAATGTGGCAAGGAAGAAATGATTGGTATGTAAATAAATAAGCAATAGTTCTCAAGGTTGAAATACAGAGAATGACAAAATAAAATCAATCAATTAAAGAGGCTTTGCTAGGGTGAAATAGAAGTATAAGGAAAAATACAGAATTTAAATTGTTTAGTTTCACAGAGAGGCTGGCTGATTATTAGTGCACTTCTGAGAATATCAGTGATGGCACAACCCATTAGATTTAGCCGGGTTGATTTTTATATTCGTACTCAAACTTTAGTCAAACTTGAAATACATACAGCAAGTCTATATGCATTCTTGAAGAAATGACAGTGATTAGTTACCTTACAAATAAACAAAATATATTTTGTTTTAAACTTCGTCAATATAATACTATGTGCATAAGTCATGTTTGGAAGGTCAAAACTACATTTTGGAGTCTTGGAGTTGATTTTTAAATTGATATGTATTGGTAAAGACATGTAGCCACTTGAGCGTCCATCTTCACATCACATTACCTATTTCACAGCTCCTTAGTGAGGACTGGATGAAATGATTCTAAGAAATACCTTGCCCTGGACATGGTGCACACTGCGTGTGGACAGTGCCGACACTTCCAATTATGAAACATAAAGGCTCTAGACACTCCTGACTATGTGCCCACTATGATCTGAGCACTTCTCACTTTTTCTCACATAATGTATATAACAGTTTTGTAACTGCAGTGTCAAGGTATTGAGTTTCAGTTTCCTCAGGAATAAAATGAGGTTAAATACGATTTTCAGAATCACGTTGGTAGTAGAAGACAGAGATGGGGCACCAAACTTTATTTGTTTCCTGCAAACACTAGATTGCTCTTTATACTTCAGCAACTGCTACTGAGCTCATGGTCAGACTAGAAAAGAGATGTAAATCTTTAAGGATATAATCAGACCTTATTTCAAATACCTTATAACTCATTCATCCACCTGATTCAAGTAGATGAAAGGTACAGTGTGAGTTTCTTGTCTTAGGGTCACATGCTACAAAAACCTTCCCTTACATTGAAACTGGGAGCTGCATGCATCCCCTCTGAATGGGGATGAATTAATTCATCAGACATAATAGAGTTAAAGAAAAAGGAGTAGTAGAGGTGAGACATTTAAGGTTCTGGTGTGATTTTTGGGAAGTGAGATTATGTTTCATTACTTAGTGGTTGGAATTCCAAAGGATGATATTCATCCATCCATAGTTAATCAAATTAGCATATTGCTGAATAGCCATGGTAGTTAACCCAATTCAAATCTCGTAGCATTGCCAGTGGGGTTAACCAACTATAAATTTGTAACATGGCTCTGATTATTTGGCATGTGCTTTAAAATACTTTTATATTTAATGGAAAAAATGAATATTTGAAGGTTTCAGAGGTCAGAATTTAATCAGTTGTCAGAAAGAAGAGTTTGATATATCAAATACAAGTCTGTTTCTTCATATTCAAAAGCTAAAGATCTATCCTCTCTCGACTTGCTTACAAATATTCAGTGCCACAGAAACACAAATAATTCTCCATTTTTCAATGCATTCTGTGTCATTTACACATGATCAAAAGATTATTACATGGTACAGTCAGAGTCAAACAGTATTACATTTATTACAAATAAAAAATTATCATGTGGCCAGGTTAGCAATGTATTAATGAACCTTATTTCTGTGCATGCATGTGTGTGTGTGTCTGTGTATAACTTTTTAAATTTAAGGACTTAAAGATTAAGGATTATGCATTAAGTTCTGTGCTACTGGAATTGACATGGAAAGATTAAAAGATTATTATCTGTTTACACTGATGAAAATCTTTATGAAAATGACAATATTAAAATAACTTGGCTTATCTAGTCCAAAAAGATCCCAAGGTCAATTTTTAGTACAAAATAAAACTCATATAAGATATGATTCCCTATTTTTAAGATTATCCCCTTTATCTTTATTAAAGATACCTTCTCAACAGTTAATGTGGCTCTAGTCGGTTTTGGGTTTTTGAGGTTTATCTTTAATATATAGTCAGTCAAACAAGTAATAGTGCAAAAATGGGCTGTGTTCTACCCAAGATAAACAAAGAGATAAACCTTAGAATTATTTTTCCTTTCATACAATGGGCTTTATCAATAAAATAAAGCTTTCTCCATCTAGGAAGCCTCTTTTAATTTGTTCAGAGACAATCTTATCAAGCTAAGCTCCAGCAAATGGTGTTTAGAATAGTAATTTATACTTTTTTTTTTTAAAGCAGCCAAGCACTTGCTATTTTTCCTTGCTGAATGGTCAGATTCCATAATCAACCATGTTGAAAACACCCTAATTAAGGGAAGTTGAAACAGACACACAGGCTTTCAAGAAGAAAGTTGAGTTGCACGTCAAAATGCAGTATCCTCAATGCTGATGTTATTTTTTCCTTCCCATAGGGAACCACAGTCAGATATCCCGAGTACCTGTTGCTATTAAAGTGCTGGATGTCAATGACAACGCCCCTGAATTCGCATCCGAATATGAGGCATTTTTATGTGAAAATGGAAAACCCGGCCAAGTAAATATCTCCATGTTGTTAATGCTGAATATGTTTGTATACCACTGTCTCATATTTGATTAACTTGCATTATAGAGCGCACTTGCATCATTTGCAACCTGCAAAGTCATAGGCAAGAATCATCCACATGGGAGAAGAGAGGGAGTATTTTTCTTTCCAAGATGTTATTTTCTTCTGACTTATGACCAAATTGGCTCCTGAAAAGGAATGGCCTGCAGTGCCATGAACCCGGAGCCAAAAAAGATCTTAAAATATCTCGGGATAGGGATGATCACAGGGGAGGTCTTAGAGTAACCGGGCCAAAATGTTAAACCTTCAAATGACAGGAAGTGAAGGGGAAAAAAGCCCATGGGGAAGGCATGTTCGTTTCATATCAAAGGTAGGAATAACACATAACAGTGGAACCCTAGGAAGACCAGTTGTAGGAAGTGCATTTTTTAAATCTGTTAGGTGTAGCTATATTTAGATAGACGTAAGACGAACAACATGTTTTAGACATGCAAGTAAAGCATCTGATAATTGTGTATTGATGTGTATTGATGGAACTTTTTTTTTAACCTCTCTTATATAGCATAGATATAAGACAGTGGCAACACAGGGAGAGACAGGGAGGAAGGAAGGAAGGAAAGGAGGGAAGGAGGGGAGGAGGAAACGGGAGAATGAAGGGGAGAGGGAGGCAGGAAAGGAGGTAGGGGTGGGAGAGAGGGAGAGAGTTAAGAAAGAACAACAGAAACAAAATCTGCTATACTCTGAATGTCATAATGGAAATAGTCTATGTAAAGTTCGGAAAAAACCACAAATGTAATACATTTATTTTAACAAGGTGCCAAAGTACTGTATGTTTAAGAAATTTATCGTTTTTCAACTTCCTAATTTATTTCTGGATGGTGACATTTTAATTTAAATAAACAGCAGCTGACAGCATGACATTGGAGTTGTTAATCCAACTATTCTTGTGCCTCATGTGGGTGTTAGGAATGCAACTTACTATTTGCCAAGCATTTACCTGACAAGTCAGATTTTTTCCACCTAAGAAGGGAATAGCACTGTGGCTGTATAGTTTTATGTACTTATTACAGAAGATCAAGTTGCTGCTCCCCTATAAAACGGTGGACATTTTCCCTAGACTACTCTCCTCTCTCTGAAGGATTAGCATTGTTTCCATCCACTGAAATATGACACAAATACATGTGCTTGCACATAAGTTAAAAGCTAACATTTTAATAATAAAATCAATTTTAAATACTAGGCATCATATATGTTATAATCAAAATATATACCTTCAGCAGTGATAAGCCAAAGGCGACCTCTTTTTTGAAATACTACTCTAACATTAGTTTCAGTGTTTCTTAATCTCATCATGTTGAACTGCCCTCTACTTGTCTTATCCTTTGAGCGTTTTCATTTGTGATCCTTTGAGGATGGAGTGTATATACATGGCAGTAAATATCATTTAGCTAAAGTTGGTGAATGGAGTTGATGGAGAGAGTTTGGTCAAAACACACGCAAGGTCAGTTTTCAAGGATATGGTTGTGTGGGCCAGATTGTTGCTGGGTGATGTAGCCAATCACAGAGTTATGTCAGACATTTTTGATCATACAGAAACTGTCAAATGCTTTAGAATTTGAATAAAACTACAGTGTTCATGCAAAACTCATCACACAAGTTCAGAGAGTCAATGGCATTGAGATTTCAAAAATTCCACATTGGCTTCACTTGTGATATTGACATGCATGCCTTTGGACCTCCTGAAATATGGAGATTTACCTTGTGGATTTTGACTGTTTCCAAGGTTTTAATGATTCATCAGCAGTTTTTAATCCTCAGGAAAAAAACATGCACTGTTTCATCACCTTTCCTATACAAGATCAAAATAAAAAACAAAAGTCGATTCTTTGTTTTATGGTTTTTGCAAATCAACATGAATGACTCTGTGAAAAAATGTTTGTTGTATGTACACTGCACTATCTTATCCTCAGATGAAAGTTTAGGCATGTTTATTTGACTTCATATTTACATGAAGACATCAGATATTTGTCTGTTCAGCATAATTTTTTGGACATATGGCTGACTGGTTGATATACACAGTTTAAATAGCTCCTGAATTCCTTGAATCCTTTGTGCTAGTCAGAACTTATGTTTGATTCATTACATCATTCCCAGGTCACTTTTAGTGGCTCAAATATCTCATTTTTATATTTAACATTTTCAAGAATTCATATGTGTTATCCACACTAAATAATGTTCACTTATATAAGTTCAGCACGGATGTACTTTCCATCATGTTTCATCCTATCACATGACTCATTTTGAAATTAGAATATTAATTATCACAGTCTCATGCCAAAAAAAAAGTCAAAAACTGAATTAGCACTAAACTCAGTCATCTCTATATTTTTCAACAATTAATGTCTGCTTTATAACAGCCTCAGAGAAAGAAGTGCAGGTGACTTTGAAATGTCTGGTTTGCCTGGAGGATATGGATTTAAGGTCTGCTGTCTGGGAGATGATGCAGCTGGATATCATTAGCAATAATCAAGCACAAGCCTTCAAAAAAACCCAATCTGTACCAAATCTTCTGCATTGGGTGACCCTCTGTAAAGAGGTTTCTAAAACATCTCACAGAATGAAAACCAGTTGCAACATGAACACAAGAGAATGCTACTGCACTTGACTGTTCTCCACTGGACTCATTTAAACAGTCTAAAATACAGGAAAAGAAAGGAAAACCACCTTCCTCTTGTCTAGGCATAGATCCCTAGGTCATGGTACACCTGTGCTAAAATTGTTACAGGCTCACTATGAAAACAGAGCTGGGAGTCCTGTCTCTTTCTACCACCTTCTCATGATGCTGAGGTAAAAGATGACATTTTCTTGAATTAGTTCCCTTAAGAGGGTAATGACCACCCATGACAGAGAAAAAGAGTTCACAGTCCATATTATTAAAAAAAAAAAAATCAATGAAAATCCCTTTTAGAATCCTTTTAAATAATCCCTCCATTTAAAAGTTAAATGTTAATGTGGTATTTTCTGATTACTAGTTACTTTTCTTTAAAACATAGTAACTAGCTAGTTACTCTTATTTAAAACAATTTCCCCCAAATAGCTACAGGTAATTTAAGTTAAAAGTTATAAGGTGATGTATATTTTTAGTCTCCAATTTAATACTGCCATGATATCATCATCTACAAATTACTTGGCCCTCGGTTTACCAGAATGAATAAAAAGATTCTCTCTACTTACTCCTATTTGATGGTCAAAGCAGAAATGAGGGTATGAGCTGAGGATTTCAAAATTGGAAAGGAAGATAAATGACTGAAAATGTATGTATCTAATAGTTTAATAGGTTTTGGTCAGTCAGTAAATGCTTATTGAATACAAACTATTAATATGCCCCAGAACTTGCTAGGTATTGGGGATTTAGTGGCAGACAAACATCAGTCTTTTTCCACATAGAGTTTTCTCTCTGGTAGACACTTAATAAAATTAGAAATGACAGAATTGCAAGAAAATATCTCAAGTTCTCTGGGCAGAAAGGAAGTTGAAGAGATGAGAGGAAATGGAACTATCTTAATGAAAAGATCCCTTAAAAAGGACACATACCCCCAGAGATAGGGAACATCTATCAAGTGCTGAGAAGAAGTCAGCCGGGGATAAACCAGGTTCTGTCTGAGGAGAATGGACTTCTGACGGGAAAGGTGAAGGACCAGGTAACAGCTCCACCGGAAGAAACCACTTCTGTGATACCACCACACTCAGAACCAAACATGAAAGTTTCAGAACATCGATGGCCAGTGATGGCCAAAGCGGCTTCCATAACTCTGTTCTACATTTTATCTCCTCAAGAGGGTCTTTCTAGGATTTTATTTTAGATGCTTACCTCTTGCTTACCATACATACAGAATTAGAATAGTTTGCTCCTGATGGTTCAGTGACAGAGGGACTGAACTGAAAATATGAAATGTGAGTCAAGCTCTCTGAAGTCTCAGAGAATATTTATCATTCGAGATTTAGTTAACAACAGACCCTTTCAGTGCTTTTTTTTTTTCCTTCAGAAAGGAGCTTCCCTGTTACTGTAAATAAATCTAGTGGAATATAATTTAAGCTTCATCATCATCTGTAGAAGACAAGATGTGCTATTTAGCATCGAGTTAATTATGTCTGGGTTAAAAACATACTTTGGTTTATCTCTTTTAATCCTTTCTCTCTCTGACCAATACTGAGGCAAAAGTTTGCTTATCATGGGACTATCACAGGTTAAAGAAAAAGATATAGCCTATATTTATAGATATATATCCAGCCAATGCTCTTCATGTAATGGATATTCACAAAATTTTAGAATCATCATTCTAATTATCAGTGACAATTATTTTAATAATTAATTTCTCAGATAGTACCATTGAGACACTTGTTTTATTCACAGACATAAATGAAAAATCATTCATTTATTTATTGAACAATATTTACTGTGCATCTACAGGATGCTAAGTTTTGTAGTATTTCCTGGGGAAACAATGTAAAAAGAACAAAAAAAGTGCTCCCTCCAATGGAACTGAATGAGGAAGAGGGATAATAAAAAGGATAGAATGAATCAATAAGATAAATTTTAAAAACTAAGCTGAAGAAAACACTAACACAACTTGGACAGAGAGAGTATAGAAAAAGCAGAGATATTTTATGTAACATTGTCAAGACAGTTACTTCTTAAATGGGTATAGTTTAAGTTGAAACTGAAAAAAAAAAAAAAAATGAGAGAGGGTAGTCATACAAGAAGTGAAAGCCGAAGTCTTCTAGTCAAGAGGATAAGCCTGTGCAAAGATCCTGAAGGGAGAAAAAGCTTGGTGTGTTGGAAAAATTGAAGATATCTGTGGCTGAGAATAATAAGGGTAATAAGCAAGTTTAATAAGAGTATAATGAGAAAAATGAAATTGGACAAAAAGAGTATTATGTTTGAATAAAATCCACACACACACACACAGATGTGGGCATGGGCAATGAAA